CACAAGCGAAAACCCAACTCCGGGGAATCCTGTGTAAAAAAACAGTACGCGGGGGGGTGCCGAATATCTTCCGGACGCCATCAGGGGAAGTGGGAGAGTATTTTCATATTGTGTAATTGTCGAGGCCGAGGGGGAGGGAAGAGACACAAGGTGGAACAAACACAGACGGTGGACAAGAACACACTGCTGGCAAACACACGCGGTGGAGAAAACACACACACAGTGTGTGTGTGTGTGTGTCTTTTGTCTCCGGAATGCGTTTTTTTTGTTCCGCCGACAATTTGCGTTTTCCACCGTGTATGTTTCATCCCGCCCTGACGTTGTCCCGTGGCTTTCGAGGCATAGCTCGGCTACCCGACGGCCGTTCGCGGCGATCCAGGCACCCCCGGAACGCCCTCCGGCGAGGCGCAGCACTGAAACGCACCCCGAGGCTGGAAAGCCGCCGAGGACCGACGAAGACGTGAGAATACCTCGGATCTCGAGCCAGTCCCAGACATCCAGCGTCGCATTTGTTTCGCAACGTGCCTCACCAGAGATCTGGAACCCTTCCCCGGGACTGGCTTTTCATCCTGAGGCGTTTTTCGACAGTCTCACGACCCCGTGAGGGCCCCCAGAGGCCGAGCACTACCAAAATACATCCGCCGCGATGTTTCGTACCACGCGAACAGGTACTGACCTCTTATTGCCCCTGAGCACCAGGTTGAATCTCGGGCAGTCGCTGCAGCGCACCTGGGGGGAGGGAGAAGAGACAGTACCACCAACAGGGGGGCGCCTCCAGCGAGGTCCACGATGCCCCCCAAAGCATAATCGTCACTCTAAGCGTCGTCTTCAATCGCAATCCGGGTCCAGGTATACTGACATGCCAATAAAACCGAATCAACATAAAACGCCCAGGGTCCAATCCAGACTCTTTATTGTCTTGAACAAAGTCTGGAGTCCGTGCAACTTGATGTTTTGTCTCAGGATCTCCGATTGGGCCATGCCTCGAGCGAAAGGGAGGAGGGACTCAACACCACCAGGGGGGCCCACCCCTGGCTCCTCCCGCTGGTGGTCCCTGGTGGTTTTGACGAGTGCGTTCCACAACTCGCAAAGTAACTACTCGCAAATGGGCTGGATCCGCCGCGAGGGATTTACGATATACCACACACATGCAGACGTATGGCTTTTCGGACGTTTGCGAGTAGGCATTTTGCGAGTAGTGGAACGCGCTCGGCGAGGGGTGGAGGGGGGGTCGTTTTTTTCTGTGGCAACTCATCGGCGCCTCCCATGGCATCTTGCCGGCTATTGCGAGTTCGGCGCTGGTCAACGCTACACCGATACTAGTTGACGCCAGCTCGGCGCGCTTTCATCGACAACCAAGTGCTGTCGCGCACGGTAGGGCATCCTGAAAACGGAATTGCCAGGACACACGAAGCTCCCATGATTTGCAAGCGAACCTTTCCTTGCCGGTGTGCCGAATTTCCGCCACCACTACCATAGGTAAGAGAGGGAGGAGGAGGAGGAGGAGGAGGAGGAGGAGGAGGAGGAGGAGGAGGAGGAGGAGGAGGAGGAGGAGGAGGAGGAGGAGGAGGGGAGGAGAAGGAGGCGAGGAGGAGGAGAGGAGGAGGAGGAAGGAGGAGAGACAGGAGGAGGATGAGGAGGAGGAGGAGGCGGCGGAGGACGAGGAGGCGGCGGAGGACGAGGAGGAGGTCCTCCCCGCCCTCTCTTCTCCTCCCGTACTGCCTACGGCCGTGGTGGTGGGAAACGTCCGCACATCGACGGGCTCCTGCGCACCAGCGCGGGCGGGAGCCAGCGCCCCGGGCCCGAGGCCTCGGGGCCGCCCGCCGCGACCTCTCCGGAGGGAGCCGCGTCCGCGCGGCGCTGGCGCATGGGCGCCCTGCGCCGTCGGGGGGGCGCCGTCGCTGACCGCCTCGCCGACTCCGGCTGGGCCCAGGGCTCGGGCTGTCTGCTGCGGACGGGGGCTGGAGTCAAGCGCCATCTCCCGGCAGCACGGGACCGAACGAGGGCCCAGAGAAGAGGAGCAAGCGAGGGGCAGGGGAGAGGCACGGCGGCGGAGGGGCAGCGACCGAGCGAAGAACCGAGGCCCGAAGCCCGCAGGGACAGCCAGGCAGGACACATCACAGCAGGTACGGTCACCTGCTTTGAAAGACAGTGGCCCTGCGGCGGCCACAGGCCGCATTTCCGACGACACGGTGAGGGCATTGGACACAGAACCCTACGATAAGGAATCCGGGGTCTACAGGCCAGTGGATCTCTGCTCGTGGACTGGCCACGGATACCACCCCAGCCCCCCTCACACAAGGAGCCCTCGAGGGTCTGAGGCCTCCTGGGCACATTCCTCAACAAGCGCCCCCCCCCGTACGTAGCACCCCGCAGTTGCGGAGCAGAGTGAGGGGACGGAGGCGGGGTTGGTCGCGGGTGGGTCGCGGGTGGGTCGCGGGGTGGGTCGCGGGTGTGTCGCGGGAGGGGTCAAGGGCGCGGTGAGCCGACAGACCCCAGAGCGCCCCAGGAGGGCTTCAAGAGGCGGCCTTCGGGCTTCCGAAAGGGGGGGGGCGGGCTGGCATGAGCGCCGCCCCCTGCTTTGATCGATGGCCCCGTAGCTGGCCACGAAACGTGTCAGCGGTGTGCCGAAATGAGGCGGCGCCCCCATGCCCACTCTGGGCCCTGTACCACAGATTCCCGACGATCTCGATCTGGCTTGCTCAATCCCAGCGGCTTTTCCTGCGCTTCGGCCTCCAGAGCCTGTCGTTGGGTCGCGGCGCCATCAGACGTTGATCTGGGGAGAAAAACTACCCCGGGGAAAGGGGTCGGGACCTCATGGGACCGCGGATTGACAAAAAAGGCAGATCCGCTGACTCTCAGGGGATTCTGGCCTAGCCCATCCTGGCTACCATGACATTCGTACGTCGTGCCAAGAAACAACGGGAGCGTTTTGGCAAGTTCTAGCATCTGGGAGCCCTCGCCAGTCGCCAGGACCGTCAAAAAACAGCCCGGGATAAAAGATCTGTCCCAGGGAAGGGGTCCAGACCTCTGGGGAGCCTCGCTGCCCGTCGTCCTTGTCCTCGTCATCCTCGTCCGAGTCCTCGTCGTTGTC